GTCATTAAGTTTGATAATGACACACTCTACACATTAAGGTTTTGGCTTGTTATCTAGAGCCTCTCACAAGTAAACTGTACGTACCTTAGTGTAATGATTACAAAATAAACAATGAAAATACATCCTGTGCATAACAAAAAACCAATAAATTAATTTATTAATATTATTATTTTTATATTAAATACATAAATTAAGTTGGACCAAAATAAATATTAATATTCCGTACTATGCTAAGAATTTATAACAACAACAAATACCTGAAATACATAATTTGTACAATTTTAGGAATTCAGCCAAACAAGTGTTAAAGGGTAACCAGTCTGTGGTAGGATACTGTTTCTTCTGGTTTTTAGTTTTCCATAATATTATGCACAGGATTTAATGTAATTTCATTGTTGTTTCACCAGAGGTCATTTTTTTGTGTCTCTTTAATATTGCTAAGAAAGCATAATCAAATAATAAAAAAAATAATAACTCTATTAATGTCCAAAATTGTAACATTTAACATTCGATGTTAAGTTGGAGTAACTCAGAAGAAAAGTAATCTGTAAACTAAAAACAACAACATTATTTTAATATAAACCAGTCGTTGAAAAGTGTAATATTCTAGCGTTGTCCCTAACGTGAATTAATAAAAAAAAAATTGTTATTATGCCAGACTTTGGCCAAATGGAGCTGCAGTAAAGAAAAGTTGAGAACATTAGAAAGATATTTTTAACCTTCACGAAGAAACTCGGCCTATCTGTTGAACTTGATTTAATTTAAAATTCTAATATTACTAATCTCATAAGCCTAAAACATATAGGGCTCTAAAATAGCATTATTATATTTGAAAGATACATTAAAATTATATGTTACTTTTGTCGAACTTCTTCAAGTTAAAATATGAATTTGGCTCTAGCGATATTAAAAGATTAACGTTTCTTATTTGTTCAACATAAAGTTATCATAAAAGCATGCAATGCGAGACTGACATTTTCATTCTGTAATTAGTTCTACTTAAATAGATAATATGAAATAAACATCTCATTCTTAATATACATAACTATATTAGTTTTAACTAGCTTTTATCACTGATGCACAAGTGTATGGTCAGTTGTTATCCGGTCAACATTTACACTCCAGTTTCTGTGCGGTACACTTAATTACAGATAAACGTGGAGTTTCATGATCATCAGTTTGTTACGTATGGAAGGAAGTAACGAGGTTTGAAAATGTTACGAAGTTTTGTTAAATATTTCTCATTACGTACAACAACACTAAACACAAACTGTTAACTGACTGCGTCCACTTTCGAACCAACCCCATAGTAGAGAAGTAATATTGACCATAATTCCAAATTTGTGAAATGTATCCTCAAAAGAATAGAGTAAGCTTTTAGTAAACAGTACACAGAAAATCAAAGGTGTTAATAAAGTATTAAAGATATGTCCGTGAATTCACGAAGTCAGCATAACTTGGACTGTGACAAGTCAAAGAGTAAGGTGATGTTCGTGTCCATCATGCACATACACGTGTAGTTTCTGTACCTTTTAACTGGTATTATCTCTACTCTAACACGAACTGTCTAAATGTCGAGAAAGCAGCAATGGGGTGGGGTTTGAATGAATAACTCTGGCATCATGTTAAATGGCACGATCACTTTAACACCCACGTATTCTCATAGGGTTAATCTTGTAAACTTAAACAATTCAAGCCTACTGCTTCCATAAATATGGATTGAATTCACAATGATCTCAAAACTTGGGTTCATATTGTATGCACTATTTAAAATATATTACATTAAACAGAAACAGATTACTGTAATAATTAGAAAAAGCCACACGGGAATTCTGTATCATGAGCTAGGAATGTGAATAAACTATGATCACGATCAAATACTGCATGTCTTGAAATTGGTATAAGTCAACAATGGACCTGAAATAAAACATCTTAGGAACTGAACTTGAATCACAAGAAAAAATAACTCTAAATTGGATATTTTGTATAGAATTAAATATCACATTTCAAATAATACACCCATTTTTAGTATAGAATCATACACTAGGCTTTATGTGTTACAGTTTAAACAACAACATTGTGGTCTTTTTTAGTACAGAGAAGTTCGTTTTGGGGTGGTATTCTAAAGAATTATACAACTTGCCACCTCACAAAACCAGATTTTCTATTAAGTAGATATGAACAAGCCAGTGAAAGTTAGGTTATTGAATATGCCATAACACTAGATGAAACATGTTTTGTACATATATGACACGCATACATACAACTGTGTGTGTAGCAAGCCAGGTGCTACTGTGTAGTCAGTATGCTGTTCTGCCCATTTATGGACTAGTTTAAATTAAGGTAACAAAGGCATGTACGTCAACAGCTGATTTTTTTGTTTTACACAATGGTAAAAAAAAAAAGAGTTCTTAACTTAATAAATCGTATAAACCCAAATTATGTGGTTAGTTTCCGAACAAAAAAAGTAATACTTTTAGTTATAGAAATAACAGATGTCAAAAACTGGTTCTGTTCCAGACAAAAGTAGAATACAGTGTTTGATTCATCCGTTACTTTTTTTGTGGGAAACTTTTACATGGTTATGTACAATCTGTAAGTATACTAAGGTAATGATTTCTCAGACCATAAACAGACGAAAAGTTAAGATATTTAAAACAGTATTCCAAAACTCGGCTTTCACTAGGACATATCCATTACGAACAATTATGCTTGCTGACCCACTCACATCAAAGATTGTAATTCTACTATTTAGGAACATTAGCTTTTCCTTATAATAATGAAACGAAGTAGGCTACTGGAAACTTAACTACAGCATTTATATAAACTTGTCACGAAAAGATTTAAATTTTGATTCTTAAGTCGTAAAGGTTTCCACAGGTCGTTTTCCTTTTGGTCATCAATCAGCACGAAAGTAAAGTTTCAAAACAAGTTATGCCTAAAAGATATAAGCAAAGTCAAGAACATTTGACATAATCAACAAGTGGAATAAGGCCTATTTAACCAGCTAAAGACATAGAAATCTTGTTCTATATTTAAAAGCAAGCTTTAATGTTGTTTTCATTCTCAACTTTGCACGATTTATAAAAAAAAAAAAGAACTAACTGCCAAATTCAGACTACAAACTAGTCTAAATACAATTTTCTGTTTCAACGTGGTACACTAACCTTAAGGTTAAGGATGGAAACCTTCAAACATTGAAATTGTGATTACGACCACAAGTTAATGAAATCTTTTAAAAATAAGACAAAAAAAAACAAGTAATAATAAGTTGTTACAACTTAACGAATCACAATACGCTACAATTATTTGTATTTCTACCCTGCTCTTCCAATTGGAATAAAATTTTGATTTTTCCTTGTACACAATTCCACTAGGGCCTAATCTAGCTCCACATCCGAACTAGTTTTACTAAACTAGCTGTCTTCTCTGTGATGCTGGTGTGTGAAACAATTATATTAGTATTAGTCAGCAGATCTAAAATGTAATCTTCGATGTTTTGTACTTTTACTGGTCAATCATTGGAAACATTTAGCAGAAGTTGAGCACTAGTGTGAGCCACTAACTCTGGGTTTACTTCCTGATTATAAGTCTGAAGTATTTCATGCTCATGTTTTAATATTTTATTAAGGAAAACTATATATAATACCAGAGCCAAATCCTGTTTTTTGTGTTTTTTCTTAATGAGAGTGTTTTACGTACTGACAGAACTCTGTCACACTTCCCCCTCCCTCTTGTATGAAGAAGAAATGAAGCCACTGTTTGAATTGTAGCTGACCTTGAGAGATCTATTACTTGAGGTGTAATGTGCGAAAAGCTTGATTTCAAAACTAATCTAATTAGTTAATTAATTAATAATCCTTCTTCATTCTAAAGGACACAAGAGTGCTACATAAGAAATTAACTTCTTAAACTTCACTTAATCAATTAAATAAAAAATTTCACCCAATTAGTTGGGGGGGGGGGGACTAGGTTAGGCCTCAAGTTTAGGAATCCCAACAGATATTCAAATAAATAAGATAACCATAGCAACATGCTGTTTCACATAACTTTGTACAAAAGAAGAAGAAAAAAAGTATTCTGCGAAGAACAAAATATACAAAACAAAATTTCAATGGGAAGTGCCATTTTTGAAATTATTCAGTTATCACATGAAGGTTAAGAACTTATATTATCCTGTAGTGTAATTTTCTTTTTAAATATCTGAATGATTAACTTACATCTTCCATATAACAGAGTTATTAACAAAAGGCCAGAAAATATCTCTCTCTTTTTTTTTATAGGAGTTCTTTCTTGGTCTTCAAAGAGGACATGGCTGAGAGCTGTAAACGTCATAAAAATACTCATTACATCCACCTTGAAAGCCTTATTTTATAGTTTGTTACTCCAGGAACTTGCACATGATCCTTCACCAAGCAATGTAAGCAGTTGTGTTAATGTTTGTTTTTACCATAAATAAGCTATTTTGTAAAAAAAGACGCATCAGTTATGAGCTGCTCGTTTCCCCTTCATGTAGTCTATCCAACGGTCAGCAATAGCTTTAAAAATGGGGTCAGTATTGAAAGTACTCAACAGCATTAACTGGTTAATGTGAGTTGTGTGGTAATCCCACCGGGCCAAGTTAGGTGCCACTCCTCCCAGCGAGAAGTGCCGAAGATCATAAACCGACCCAGAACCTGTATCGAAGAGAGGCAACATTTTCTTTAGAGACACCATGCCATCTTCATATAGTTTGGCTGCTGTTTTGCAATCTCTGTGTGTGCAGGTCATTTTGAGGTCATAAAGACCTATAAGAGAGTAGATGAATCCATTAAGAACGTACGAACTGGGTGTCGTGGGATACTCCTCGTACCAGACGTATTTTCCAGCAAATGTGGTCATTACACCGTGATTTTCAGATCGCACTTTGAATGGCTCTATGGCATTCATTGCAGAATGGAGATAAGTCAAGTTTCCTGTAATGTTGAAGGCCCTAGTAAGTACAGAGATAGCCTGACCCTGTCCCATTGCCGAATACCAGCCTGGAGCTAAATCGGCCATCCCGGGAGAAAGACGCCGTGTAACCATGATTGGCCATCCGCCATTTTCATCTTGGTGGCGGACAAACCAATCAGCAACTGCAAAAAAGTGAGCCACGTGTGCAGAAGAGCTCAGAGTAATGTTGTCTATGTATCCCCATCCCTGTAGTGTAATACTACGAACTCTTGTGCTTCGCAGCTTTGCCTTCTTTTTTGAACTTCTTGTCAGCATCAGTCCTTTTTGTAAATCTACAACAAGGTCACGTGTCACTTTTGTCCAATCCTTACCTGTCCCTATCCCAAGGAAGACTTCATTGTCTTGTGCAGAGATAAGTGAGTCAGTCATTACGTAATGTAATCTGTATATCGAACGTTTACCTCCAAGTATGACCACTGTCACCGTGACGCTGGCTACCATTTTCAGGTCAAAGGTCAAGGTTGTATCAGTGGAATCATTTTCCAATGTTAAAGTAAGGCCTGGATCAGTCTCAGAACCTGTAACAAATAAAACATATGTCTTAAACTAATAGTTTATTTTCTGCCTCATTTAAAACATAGTTAAAATTGACTTAAGTTTGTCGATGAGTCAGTTACGTACTTCACCACACCTAATTACAGGTTGATTGGATGGGGCAACCTTTCTTTATATAGTGTAGGGGTCATCATAAAACTTTCTGAACAATAGTTATGGATTTTCTATTATACTTCCTTGCAGATCTTGGTATAGAACAAATCTCCGAAACTCTGTAAACAAGTTGCTGTGAGAATATTATATTATACTGTATCCTAATCATTAGATTTTAGTACAGAAGTAGTTATTCAGTCTTTCGATCATCGATTTTTTTTATAAGAAGACCAATTTTCTTATCATGTTTAGGTAAAAATTTTAACATAAAAATCTGTGTCTTACTCACGCAGGAGGTACTATTTCTCATGTAGCCAAGGTCTGTGAATCAGCTTGGGGATTCTTCACTTGTGAACCCAAATACATTAGAGATAAGGAAAACTCTGGGATGTACATTCATGTAACAGTTAATACATTTTAATTAACAGTATATTAGGATCTTAACTTCTGTCACATATCTGGAAGTGCTACCCATATCCCCTGCTCTTACCGTTAAATATGACAATTCCCTTAACAATCTTAAACACCTCAATCAGATCCCCTCTAACTCTTCTTTTTTCCAAAGAAACAATTTCAGTTTTCTTCCAGTGTTTGTTCAAATGCTCGTACATTTAGTTGATGTCTAGTGTCATTAATATAAGAAACCTCACAGTCTCGGCACCTATACAAGTAGAGGAGACATGAACAATGAACAATTAGTACACGATCGTTGTAGCAGAAATGTTTTTTAAGCCTGAAATTGAGGTTGAGGATAATTAGAGTTACATAATTTTTTCAACTGTTTCGTGATAAGGGACCTCTGTCATCTAAGATATGGTAAGTAATTGTAGACAGTAGGTATCTTGGGTGACTTGACAAACACATCAGTTAAGAATGAGTACATTATTTTCTTTTTTTTTGGCCCGGCATGTCCATGTTTCTTATATTAGTGAAACTAGACATCAACTGAAAAAAAAAAGTTACAAACCATGGCAACTTTAAAACCCTTTCAACAACTGAACTTCTAATAAAAATAGACATTATAGATAAAAACTCATTTTTCATTTGATATAACTATTTTATTAGACTTACATACTTTTATTTTTTTTGTTCTATTTTTATATTTATTACAAATTATATCACATTTCTGTTGTGTACCTCTGTTGAAGATTCTTAAACACTTAATAAATGCTTTGTATAATTACATTCTTGTTTTGCTTTATTATTCAATCGTGCCCTAGTCTTTGTGAGCACAAGACAATCTTGTTCAATCAACTAAATTCACTGGTAGTTAAGAAACAAGAAAATGTAACCATTGCTTCTATTTGATGTCTCATTAACACTACTGTTTCCTTTATAAAATACACACACGCTTAATATGGTTAATGTTATTCTGTTTTTCGAGGAAGGTGATACAAATAGTCCCAATAATTATAGACCTGTTAAGCCTTTCATCAGGGATGGAAGAAGATTCTTTGAGAAGTCACTTAACAAACCTTTGTTTGACAGTCAGAGTGATTTTACTCGGGGAAATCTCGAGTTACTAATCTTTGGACATCGTCTGAAAAGGGTCTGGATGTATTTTCAGTAAGCATTTGGCAAGGCACCACGTAAAAGGCTTGTAAAAAAATTATCTCTAACTGGATAGATGAAGCAGAGGGTTGAATTAACGTTATAATTAGGGAACCTCAGGGCTCAGTGTTAGGAACTTTGTTCATTTTGATTTACATCAATGGTCAATAAATGAGTTAAATTTGCTGATGACATTGAAGTTTTGGGTGCTGCTGCTTTACAAAAGAATTTGGATTATTTGGTGAATAAATGCAAAGTGATGTATGTAGAATATCATCATTTTAATGGGAATAACCTTAAAAAAAGATCTTGGTGTTCTGGTTGATTAGTCTCTTAAGCCATCCAAGCAAGGAGGGTTTTAGTTGTATCTACAGAAATATTGAAGAAGTAATAGTGTTATTGGTTATTTCAGTTGTTGGAAAGGGTCAGAGAAAGGCTTCTAAGATGATACCTGGGATTGATAGGTCAAGATCTGTTGATGACACAAACAATATCTTCAGTAGCTAAAGAGTAAACACAGTATAGTATAGACCATAAATTTACATTTGTGGATACCTTAATTAGTAACAGTAATGGAGGATTCTAATGTGAAATTTATCATAAGAAGACATTAAAATATCTAGCACTTACGAAGCTAAGCGTCAAGGAATTTTTGTGCAAATAATATATTTTCATGTGACATTCAGTTAAGTACTTTATATTCAATTTAAGTGTCTAAATATCTTTGTTATTAAGAATCAGCTATAATAAGTTATCTGAAGGATATACCCACAGGTACAATTAAGGTGTGTATCTAAACCTAGTTGTTGCCTACTTTATTTAATTTTAAGAAACAGATACCAACAGATACACTTTGTAGTTTGTGAATTAATTGTCCTTGGTTCTACGGAAAAAGGAAACTCTTTAAAACCAATAAAAGAACATGCTAACTTTAAATCACCCACTAAGTATATTATAACATGCTCTAGGAGAATGTCCTTCTGATTGGTTATAAGATCTTTGCAAGGGCCAGTGATGAACAAGTTATTTGATTCACTATCTGAGGCCTGAAATTAATGTACTTAGTTGTTTGAGAAAAGTTTGGTTAAGGCTATAAAATATAAGGTTTAAAACTTGGTCTACTGATATATTTACTAGCTATCAAGATGACATATTTTTTAAGGTTTGTTTATGGGATATAAAAATATCATGTTTTCTAGGTGTCCCTATTTCAACTCAGTGGGATTTCCATGGTCATTTTTATTTTAATGTTTTCTAGGTGTCCCTATTTCAACTCAGTGGGATTTCCATGGTCATTTTTATTTTAATGTTTTCTAGGTGTCCCTATTTCAACTCAGTGGGATTCCCATGGTCATTTTTATCCAATCCAGATTGCCCAGTTTGGGCTGAGCCACTTCAGCAAGAATCTTACGGAAAAAAGTCCGTCCACAACTCTGGTTGATGGTGGTGAAAAACCTCCCTCAGCACAATGGACGATGTCCACTATTGGGAAAACAAGGATCCCATTGAAAAGAGTTCTTGATGAAGCCACAAACAGGAAAGTCCTGGAATTTAAAACAGATGGTAAGTAATGTTTATTTGTTGTTAAGGACAAAGCTAGACAATGGATTATAAAACTTCCCGCGGAGTCAGGTAAGTAATGAAGAATAAGTCTTTTTGATTTAATCATACAGTGTTTAGTAAACTGAAAACATAACAGTTGTCAAGACACCATACAGTATTAACAGTGATAAGTTAAATAGATCATGAATTTACCGGTATTCAAACTTTAGTAATTAATTTAATAATAAATTAACATGAAATAATATGTAGTATTTATTAAATATAATGGAAAGTGTGAAATAGTTATATTAAAATAGATTTAAATCAGATAAAGAATGTGTATTACTTAGAGACAAAAAAAAGTTTTTCTGTATAATGTCACTTTTTTTTATATTAGAAGTTCAGTATCATGTTTGGCTGTTGAGAGAATTTTGAAGTTGGAGAGAGAAAGTGGATGCCACGTTTCGATATTGTGTTGGCAGATAGCAGAGTTGGCATGGAGAACACTTAACTGTGCGATCTCTTTTAATTATATATTTGTTTACAGAACACTTAACTGTACTGTCTCTTCTAATGATATATTTGTTTACACAACACTTAACTGTACTATCTCTTCTAATGATATACAATGATATATTTGTTTACACAACACTTAACTGTACGATCTCTTCTAATGATATATTTGTTTACACAACACTTAACTGTACTATCTCTTCTAATGATATACTCGTTTACACAACACTTAACTGTACTATCTCTTCTAATGATATACTCGTTTACACAACACTTAACTGTACGTGTGTCCCTTACGACCAATTGTATCAAACACTAATTTATAACCGTGCTTTGTCAGTTGATTTTTTGAAAACATTTGCCACAAATGAATATACTCTGAGAGAGAGAGTTTTTAGGTTTCTCGAGAAATTCCACAACTACAGTTTAAAAGAGATCGTACAGTTAAGTGTTGTGTAAACGAGTATATCATTAGAAGAGATCGTACAGTTAAGTGTTGTGTAAACGAGTATATCATTAGAAGAGATAGGTTCTTAAAAACAACAGGTAACAATTAGGTTTAATTGTACCCTGTGAACATATCCTTTGGATAACCTGTTTTAGCTGATTTATAGACAAAACGTTTGTTTTATGACTTTAAACTGCCATTCTTGAGCCCATAGTAACACTGTCAACATGATAAATAAACTTACCATTCAACCAAAACATGAGATTCCTTTACAACAAAATTTATCAGTTTAAACAACAACAACAACAGATTTTGGGATAGGCACATTGGTGGAGTTATCTTTGTGTCATCAACTCGGCACTTAACTGTAAGATGATTGTACTAAATTTTTAATAGAATTAAAGAAAGAAAAATATTTTTAATGAAAAATATATTTGAACATTAGAGCATTATGAAGACATCCTGGTATATTTTATGGATTGTAAAAAATTCACAGTGAAGTAATGTGAATTTGGCATGTTCTAACGTACTTAGTGTGATATTGGCATGTTCTAACGTACTTAGTGTGATATTGGCATGTTCTAACGTACTTAGTGTGAATTTGGCATGTTCTAACGTACTTAGTGTGAAGTTTGCATGTTCTAACGTACTTAGTGTGAAATTGGCATGTTCTAACGTACTTAGTGTGATATTGGCATGTTCTAACGTACTTAGTGTGAAGTTTGCATGTTCTAACGTACTTAGTGTGAAGTTTGCATGTTCTAACATACTTAGTGTGAAGTTGGCATGTTCTAACGTACTTACTGTGAAG